GATGACAATTTTCCATTATAGCATGTGACTGTTTCTGCTCCTCAGAGTCCAAAAATCGTGGTGTGGCTGCATTAGAGCCAAAGTAGCACATTAATGTAATTTATCTTATCCGATAATTCATCTTATCGGAAATCAGTGGAAAAAACAAAACAAAACAAACCATCAGAAAAATGCTTTTTATCCGAGCCGATAATCCACCAGGCGGATAATCGGTTGACTCTTGCTTGATATATTATGGTAAAAATTCAGACTGTTTTGTATCAGTACAAATGCCTGTTAAAGACTTAACCGAGCGCTGCTGTTAATGCACACTGTCCTGCCAGAACTAGATAATCTGTCTGCTGCTGCTGCTACTGTACATGGTGTCTCCCTGCCAGCCTGCCAGACTGATCCCCTGTAAATCACGCAGCATCTACTGTAAGCACTATAAACTCTAATTCAAGGGTTACCCACATCTTACCATATGTTCTACATGTTCTAGACATGTTCCGTTTTGTAGAAATTGTGAAACGAATCAAACTACTAAATGAACTAAAGCAGTGAGGGCTGACGGAGATCAGGCGGCAGCAACACGTCTCGCTGCTGTGACGGCGTCGTAGGTAGGCGATGGGATCTGACTCCAGCACGCGGCTCAGCACACACGTGAAAGCCTCCCTCAGAAACACCATCTCCAATGATCCATTCATTGTTTGAAATGCACAAGAACGTTGTCACCCAATTGCTTGTGTGTTATCTTGCGGGGCTTTTGTGTCTGTGCTTGTTTTTGTGGAGCTATCGTTGTACTTGACATGTGAATGTGTGCGCTGTGTGCGTACGCCTAAGCCTTCGGGGTCACGCGGGTTCACGTGTCGGCCCGAGAGCTCATCTGGTCTGATCTGATTTCCTCCCAGCTGGCTGATGTGGAACAGTAGCCCAGATGTTGCAGAGATTACAACTCCCTGCAGTGTCGAGACCATTCAGGAAAATGAACACAATGGGAGAATATGTAGCGCACGCAGACCCACACTGCTCACCTAAGTGTCCTCCATACAAATAATCTCTGGTTTTTCTGGATGACAAACAATCTGTGACACTTGATGCTATATCTTTTTGCGTGTATGTTAGCTTTAGCTACAGCAATTTTGTGTGAAAGCTGGAACACCTGAGTTAAATTAAAAATTTTAAAGATACTGTTCTGACAGTGGCGCTGCAGGGTGGCGCAGTTGGTAGCACTGTTTCCTCGCAGCAAGAAGGTTGCCGGTTCGCGTCC